CAGTCTGTGTTCCACAGAGATTCCCATAAAATCACACTCATCTTTGTCCTGATCTCTGTTTGGGTGCTCTTTGTTTGCATTCCCAACACCAGTAAAGACTGGGGTGTGTCAGCACTGCAATGGGAGGCTTTTATTCTGTTTTCAAGTTTGGTCTTGAAAGTTTTGAAGGAAATGTCCTTTCTGCTCTCCAAGTGGAATCCATTCGGTGACCCCAAATTTGAAGAGAGTGTATAAACACGAAGGGGAACGGCTGTTTATGAGGGTAGATAGTGATAGGACAAGGGGGAATGGTTTTAAACTGAGACAGGGGAGGTTTAGGTCAGATATTAGGAGAATGTTTTCACACAGAGGCTGGTGACACACTGGAACAGGTTGCCCAAGGAGGCTGTGGATGCCCCATCCCTGGAGGCATCCAAGGCCAGGCTGGATGTGGCTCTGGGCAGCCTGGTCTGCTGGTTGGTGACCCTGCACATAGCAGGGGGTTGGAACTGAGTGATCATTGTGGTCCTTTTCAGCCCGGGCTGTTCTGTGATTCTATGATTCTATGAAAATTGCCCCATAGGATGAAAAACGTTGGGCATTCATAAAAACACCCCAGTACTTACAAACACTTGCTGCTATTTTCTTCTATTCTGTCTGTAATTCCACATCTGTATAAATCTTCTCTCTGCCTTTAAATAATGATTGCTGCAACAATAAATGCCTGATGAACTCTGTTCTAGGCTCCAGCAATTCCCATGGATTTCACAGGTTATATTTTGGGAGGATCCTGATTTTTCAGCAGAATGATAGAGGGCTAAATGTCATTCCATGCTCTTTACTTCAAGTATGTAACTTAGACAACTGGGACAGGCAAAATGAGGAGCATGTATCCCCTCCACAGCCTTTGGAGAAGGGAGCAGAGCAGCAGTGCTGAGCACTGAGATGACTGCAGAGCTTCACACCTGGCTGAATCAAGATAGAGAGGAAGGCAAATGCTCACTTCTTCCTTCTAGTCTTCATGCAGTTGCCCTGCATAAACAATGCTGAACAAGGGGCCTTCACATGAGTTTCCTCCTGAAAAGACAAAGAGAAAATAAAACACATCTGACATTCCTCAGGGCCTATTTATCCAGTCCCATGTTATTTACAATGTAGATAGAACCTATAATCATAGAATCAGAGAATCACGGGCTGGCTCTGGTCGGAAGGGACCTCAAGGATCATGAATCTCCAACCCCCTGCCACAGGCAGGGCCACCAACCTCCCCATTTAATACTGGACCAGGCTGCCCAGGGCCCCATCCAACCTGGCCTTGAACACCTCCAGGGACGGGGCATCCACAACCTCTCTGGGCAGCTGTTCCAGCACCTCATCACTCTCATAGTGAAGAACTTCCCACTGACATCCAACCTAAATCTTCCCTCTCTCAACTTCAAACCATTTCCCCTTGTCCTGCTGTTGTCTACCCTTTCAGTCGGCTCCCCTCCTATTTATAGGCTCCCTTTAGGTACTGAAAGGCTGCAATGAGGTCACCCCACAGCCTTCTTTTCTCCAGGCTGAACAAGCCCAGATCCCTCAGCCTGTCTTCATCTGTCTTTTCCAGCCCTCTGATCATTTTCATGGCCCTCTTCTGGACATCTGTTCATTCTGTTCCTCCCCAACAGCTCCCTAAAGAGGAGGGAGGGAGGTAGGTAGATAGGCAGATAGATAGGCAGATAGATAGATAGATAGATAGATAGATAATTGTGATATTACTTTTTATTTTTTTCCCTTTCCTTTTCCTGTTTAATTTCATCGCTGGAGTTGAAAAGCACCACTTAAAGCAGACTTCATTACCTTCAGAGGGTGATCTGCTATTTCTGAAGCAACAAACCCGACGTAAAACACTCCAGACTCCCTCATCCAAAACAAAAAACTAAAACAAAAAAAAGCAAAAAAAAAAAAAAAAAAACCCCAAAACAAACCATTCGTTTTGCAGACGAGGGACCTGAGGGGTGGAGGCTCTGGGAGGCGGGGCGGGGCGGGGCGGGGCGGCCGAGGTCTCCCGAGGGATTGGGGCCGGGGCACCGCCTGCTGCCGGTAAGTGCAGCCCGGCTGGGGGCAACGGGAGACCCCCGGCACTGAGCCGGGAGTGCTGGCTGTGCCTCCCCGAGCTCTCGCCGCTGGGGGTTTTCTACGCGGGTTGGGGCTTTGCGTGCTCGGGGGTGGGGGCTTTGTACCCGCAGGGATGCGCAGCTCGCCCGTGGGGATTCCACACCCCCCAGGATATGGGGTTTTGCATCCCGGGGGCTGCGGGTTTGCATCTCGGGTGCAGGCAGCCGCAGGGTTGGGGATCTGCAGCCCCCACGATTGGGGTTTTGCACCCCCACACGGGGTTTTGCATCCCGGGGGCTGCAGGTTTGCATCTTGGGTGCTGGTATCCCCGGGGTTGGGGGGGTCTGTACCCCACATCTTGAAGATCTGTAGCCCCAGCGGTTGCTGTTTTGCAGCCCTGGGGTTGTGAGCTCGCATCCCTGCAGGTTGAGGTTCACACCTTGGCTTTTGGGGTTTTGCACCCCTGACACCTGTGGGCTCTCTGGCCCTCACACTGCAGGTTTAAGTTTGCCCTGAGTTTTACTGTTTCCTGCCAGCTCTTCAGAGAGGAGCAGCAGACTCACTTCTGCAGGGTTTGATGCACGGTGGTGGAGCAGACGATGCTCGCATGCAGCCCAGCTCCAAGCACTGAGTGGGAATGGACTGTGGTGTCCTGCATGCTGCATCCCACTGCTGCTCTATGATGCTGCTCTGATGCTTCACCCAGCTGTGGCCGTGGTCAGGTTTGAAGGTAAGGATCGTGCTTGCTGCTGGTGTGTTTCTAGACCTGCCCTAGAGTTATTCGTCGCTGATTTGGGGGTGGGAAGAAATCATCTTTTGTACTAAAAATGCTACTCTGCAGATGGAAAAGGAGAGAGTAGTGCTAGGCAGTGCTTGCTGGTGCAGCCGTCTTTTAGGCATGCTTTACATACCTGAAAAGCTTTGTGGGTCCCTTCCAACTCAGGATATTCTGTGGTTCACTGCTTTACAGATGGGAGCACAGTGGGGAGGCATAGCTGCATGTTGTCCTGTGCTTTTCCTTGGTTAGCAGGGTTTGGCAGCAAAGTACATCTCTTGGAAGGATGGCCCATCCTGTTTTGTCCCAGAAGTTTTAAGATTACTGCTTTTCTGTGTTAACAAGGCTCCAGGTGACTCAGGAGAAGCATTTCTTAGCAAGCAAGAAGTTGCTGGCTAATCTGTGTAACACAGTGTGCAGACGCACTTCCAGGACTCTATGTGGGGATGCTTGAAATGCAGCCAGGAGCAGCAGGACCCTGTTGTCTGCACCCTGACCCAGCTCTGAAGTTTCAAGCATCCAACAACCTTTTTTTGCTGAGTATTTCTTGCTGGAGAAATGGCACAGAAGGCCAGATGAGGAGCGCCTGGTTTCCAGCTGCTCAGTGTGTCTTTGTGTCATAACCAAACAATAATACATGTGTTTCTTCGATGCTTTGTGAATGCAGATATGTTTGTCACCTCTGTTTGAGCACTGTTGTGTCCTTCTAGATGTATCCTGCATTATAAGCAGCTTGCTGTTAGAATTCTCACTAGGAAAGACCTTCTAAGCCAGCCTGTACCAGTAACTAAGGTGGTACTCGAGCATCATAGAGAGACTGCAAAGACAGACTTCTTCTCCTTGAAGTTTGAATGCAGCACGTGCTCACGGATCATCACCAGAGCAGCTGTGTTTAAGTAATGATCTGCTTTGTACAAATGCTTACCAAAGAATCACGTGGGCACATGTGATGGGCAGATGTGACTGCTAAGCCCATGTTTCAGTGTCACATCTAAACACCTCGGGCAGCAAATGCAGCGCTCCCATCTATAATTATTCAGGTGCAAAGGAAAAACAGGAGAAAAACTTGAAATTGAGTGAAATCTGAGTTTTCTGTGTCTTGGGAGCCCATCTTAATGCTGTGAGGCCTGACCCAAAAAATTGCAGAGAAGCTTTTATGAGGCTCAGTCACATAGCATTAAATGGTAGGAGAAATTTAGCTGTGAAGTGGCAGACATCAGTGATGATGCAAGGGAAGGAACCTGATTGCTTCCTACCTTTGTGTGTGCAGCAGTGGGCTCTGAGCTGAGCACTGCCGTTCAGGAAGGAGATCTTTAGATCATGAACAGGTCATCTTAGTGCTAAGTGCCAATCAAAAGCAGCAAACAGCATTAGGAATTGCAGCGAGGAGGGATCAGAGACAGAACGGGGAACATCATTATGTCATTATATAAATCCACAGTACTTTTACTTCTTGGAAATTGTTTGCAGGTTCTGTTTATCACAGTGTTAGAGGAGCTGCAGGGGTGTCCAGGAGCCTGAAATTGCTTCTGTATGAGGAATGAGCAAGTTGTTGAGGGCTCTTCATGCTGACCAAGCGGTTATGAGGGTGCTGGGGAGTGTGACAGACATTAAAGGGCCCATCACTGGCATATTGGGTCATGGGGACATTTATCCTGACCCACTGAGGAGCTGGGAGCATCCCTGCTGTGCTCAGAAGGGGACACAAGTCTGCTGCACCCAAGGCCCTAAATTAGTTGCTTGCCATAAGGATTACTGGCAGCTCTGGTTGCGATTCAGAGCATGGCATGGAGCTGCCTACTGTTCTCTACCTGTGGGAGAAAAATCATACCTTCAGAGCCTCAAAAACAAACAGGACAATCCAGGCTATGTCTAAACTATGGATTATGAAAGCACCCAGCCTGGGTTAGGAGTCTCACCTGGTCTGTAGATAGCATGAGGTGATCCCAAGGATGTATTTTGAGGCTACGGCTTCTTGCTAAGTGGGACTTAGCAGAGCTGCTTTAATTTGGCTTACAGTTGTTTGCTTGAGTTCCCTCTCTTCTCAGCACTCTTCATTTGTCCTTCACAGGAGAGGTTTTAATTGCCAAGGAGAACTTCAGCCAGCACAGCACGTTGTACCAGACACTTCTGAGCTGATGACCATGGGATGGTGATGGCAGAGGCACAGCAGGGTGTGTGGATTTTCCTTGAAGCCAGCAGAACATAAATGTTTTCTGTACTTCCTTTCACCGTGCTCTGAAGTGTTAATATTTCCCCCTTTTTCTCTCTTTCAGCTCTTAACGGTGGGAAGATGCTGATGGACAAAAATGAGTCGTGGCTCTCTAATTTCTCTTCTACATCATCCTTTGTGAAAGGAGCTGGCAGATGGGCAGGGATCGGCCTCCAGGAGGTGGCCATTGGGCTCGTACTGACCCTCATTGACTTGGTCACACTCCTGGGAAATACAGTAGTCTTTATTTGCCCGGTGGTGGAAAAGAGGTTGCGGACTGTCACCTACATGTTTATCATGTCTTTGGCCATGGCAGACTTCCTTGTGGCTTGCCTTGTCATGCCGTTCAGGTAAGAAGAGCTCACCCAAGATCTGAATGCTGGGTCAGTGATTACAGATGTTTCTGTGCCTCAGTTTCCTGACCCAAACCTGTTGGTGAGGTTTCTTTTGTCATGAATGGAGAGTTTTTCTCTTGCTGGCTATGGAAGGGCTCCAGGGTGATGGAGCCAGTCTGAATGTTGCTGAATGTTTTGGCAGCATTTGGAGGATGAGAGGTGGGGACAGCCCCTGGTGTGTCATCATTAACTGCAATGACTGCGTGGGGGCCACTAACGTTTCAAAGGTAGAGCAAATCACGGAGGATATTTTCCCCTCATCTCTCCCAGTCTGTTCAAATCAGCACAGTGAAATTATGTGCAGTTGGTTTTATACCGCTTTAACCTTCTGTTTTATCTTCTGGTAGTGGGAGGGAGAAGTAAAAATAACCCTTACATCTTTACTTGTGTAAGAAAACTTAACGATTTCAGATCAGTGGACTTGCTAGGCTATCGCAGTAGTGTTGTTCTTCATATTCATGGCAAAACACTGAATTTTCATTGTTCCTTCTGGCTCAGCCAATGCTGAGTGGGGTTTGTTGGGAAGGTTGGTGACCTTTCAAGACAGATCATTTGCTTACATCAACAGACAAGAAACGCTGCAGTGTTCAGTGGGAAATCAAATGTGATTCACTGAGTCCGGGAAACTGTTTTACACATATTACCATTGCAAATTGATAAGTGTCACTGTTATCAAAACAAAGGCCATCTCCTCCTCACTCTGTACAAAAGTAAGGATTTTGCTTGAGTAGAAGTAGGGTAATTTATGCTCACCCTATATTTAATGAAGGAAGTGGTGGAGTCCCATCCCTGGAGGTATTAAAGATGTGTGGATGTGGCTTGAGGGATATGGTTTGGTGCTGGGACTTGGTAATCTCAAAGATCTTTCCCAACCTGGAAGATCCTATGGTTCTATGAAACCAAGGCAACTTGTGGGCTCTGCCGTCTCATGCTGCAGAGTGGCCATAAGTCTGTACGGCAGGTGGCTGCACTGCATTCAGTGCTCTTGGAGCTGGATAAAGCATCTGCAGTCTCTTACCCCAGGGACTTGGTAACAGCTTAGCTGTAGGATGACCTAACCTGCTCATACCCCATTGAAGTCACTGGGAATGAGGCAGAGACCTCACCAGGAGATTCATTTTGCTGATGGTTCTCAGCTGCACATCCACATAGCTTTTCCAAATTGCAGCTTGCTCCTCAGCGGGCATGGCAGCACATGTCAAAGGGAAGGAAAAGAGCTGGAGCCCTTCAACAGCACTGTGCTCTGCTAATGCACTCAGAGCAGTTATCGTGCTTTGAAACAACCTTTCCCAGTAGTTTTAATGAACTGCTGCTAATTAAATGCAGAGCAGGCGTTGATTCCTGGCTCCTGACATCATGTTGGCTGTTTCTGCCAACCTAAGAGCCCACCTAAGGGCACTGCAGTGCTGTTGCTCTGCTTCCACTGTATTTGACCGTAAAGCTGTGAAGTTAGAGGATAATTAAAGCTCTGCAGGAACAGATTGTTACTCAGCTCTCCACATCAAATCCACACAATGGTTGTTTCAGCAGCACTCCAGGAGCTACAGAGAAGGGAAGCAAACTGCACCTAGCTGAATGCTATAGGAACACGCATCAGCTTTCCTACAGCTGCCATATGTTCCTTCCATCGCTGCTCACTTCTTATAGGCCCCTCTGACTTTGCTGTGAATGATTTTGGCATAATGCCTGCTTTTTGCTGGTGTGTTCCCTTGGTTGAGGCGTTTCTGGGCTATATAAGGTACAAGCTGCATAGGCTTCCTCCTCGCCTCTACTCTTTTAACCCAAGAATTGAAAAGTGGGCACCTTCCACACCTTAGGAACGGAGGAGGATTGATAAAGGTCAGTGCTTCAAAAGGCACTGGAAAAAGCGGTGATGAACAAAGCTGTGCAGACGTAAATGCGAGGATCTCTGGGAACAGAGCACTTCTTACAACACAAGCGGGGAGGATGGGCTTGATCTTCTTCAGCCTCGTTCTATGCATGGGTTGATGCCTTGGATTGCTCTTGGAGGGCTAATCTCTGGTGTGTAACTGACCTTAACTTTGCTGTGCACTGCTCTTGAGCACCTCCATGTGAAAAACATTATTTCAGTGCAATCCTGAAATACGTTAAATCAGCCTTTCCAGCTTTGTTTTCTACCCATTTCTCTTGCAGCATCATTTACGAGGTGACGGGGATGTGGTTATTCGGGAAGCTGTTCTGCAAGGTCTGGATCTCCTTTGATGTCATGTTCTGCACCGCTTCCATTGTCACTCTGTGCTTTATCAGCTTGGACAGATACTGCTCTGTGGTGACCCCATCTCACTATTCCAGAAGGATGTCCCGTGGCAGGTGAGTGCAGTTGCTCCTCATTCCAGCTCCCTCCAAATTTTCACTTGGCCACAGCCTGTAGCAAGCAGGGCCCAAATAAGCTGTTGGCATTTTCTGCCCCAAATCAGAACTGTGTGAGAAAAGAAACTTCGCTCCATTTGAAGTTTTGCAGAATGCTCCTCCTGTCAAGGTTTCATGTGAAACACTGAAGTGAGGACTGCAGGGTGGAGAAGGTTGTCTGAGGATAATGGCTGGAAGCTAATACTGAAACCAATCAGAAAAATCTGCCTGCTGTTACTTTAAATGTTAATAAAAATCCTTTGTAAAGCCTTTCTTCTTGTTTTGTTTTGTTTTTTTCTCCCACCTGGCTCAGAGCACCTCTTACACTGACCCCAATTCTGCAAGCCACAGATCCTAGTACTCAGTTATTAGAGCTGTTCACATATAGACTTATTGTACTCCAGCTTTTTCTGTGCTCGGTGGCTTCTCAAAGCCCTCTGGGACTACTGAACAGTGATAGTGATATCCCACAAATGTTACCATGGGGATTGAATTGTACTGGATGTTCTCAGCTCAAAGTAACTCAGACCCTCTCTCCTCTCTCCATCTCTTTCCTTCGGCAGATGCGTTGTGATGACCTGCACAGTCTGGGTATACTCCTCCCTTATTTCCTTCCTTCCCGTCATGAAGGGCTGGAATGAGATCCCCGGGGTGGATTTTGATGCAGGCACGGAATGCATCTTCGTCACCAACTGGATTTTTGCCATCGTAGCATCTGCTCTTGCGTTTTTCGTCCCCTTCATGGTCATGTGCAGTATGTACTTCTTCATCTATCGAGCTTCCCGGCTCAAGGCCACTCGTATCGTGTCTCAGACCCTGGACATCCACTACCACCCTAACAGCAAGCGGCAGAACCACCTGCAGCTGGAGAACAAGGCCACACGGACCATCAGCATCATCATTTCTGTCTTTGTGCTGTGTTGGCTGCCATACTTTGTCCTGAACGTGTGGCTTGCTGCCAGGGGCAGCAACTCTGCAAGCACAGTCCTGGTTGAAACCTTCAAGATCATCACTTGGTTGGGGTACTGCAATTCCACTATCAACCCCGTGCTCTATGCTTTCCTCAACAGGGACTTCCAGCGGGCACTGAGGAAGCTGCTCATCTGCAGGCACAGGTCTCAGGTGGATATTGGAGAAGACATGGTTTCCATAGCCACCTTCACCAAGACTGCTCCAGACTTGGACTACAGCATTACAGTGCCAGTGCCCAGTGATGCCCAGCAGGGCAAGCCCAAGCAATAGAGTCCAGAACCAGTTACTGGAGGAGGTGGTACAGAACATTCAAGAGCGTGTCCTAATGTAAGAATAAGTGTCTTGAAAACAGGGGAAGAAGGGACTGGAATGTGACAGCTGGGGGCATATGGATAAAATGCAATTATACCACAGTTCTATGAACAAGAACCAGTTTGCTACAGCAAATGGAGCAAATTCCTTCCTGGGTAATTATTTTTTAAAATGATTACTTCCTAAGACAAATTCAATCTTCATGCTAGAGAAATATTTCGGTATAACATCAACTTGACTTCCTCTATACATCGTGGTCACTTCCTACAGCTTACGTTGAAACAATCTCTCTGATCCAGCAATTATAGCTCTTGCACTTTACATTATAAATTTAACCAGTTTTAGTAGTGCACCTGTGTCATTCTGCAAAGGGGAGGTGATGGGAAGGATGTGGCCAAAGAGCAAAGTTGGTGTTCAATAAAGGCAGCACGGGGCTCAGCTGCACACTCTCTGCACTCTGAGCTGCAGCTTACAGGTGCCCAACACCAGCAAAGTTACTTGCCTGTAATGCACTGTGCAGTCTGTGCAGCTCTGCCACGAGCTGAGCTATACAGCACTGATGGAGCACACACTTGTAAAAATGCTGAGATACCTCATGCCTTGCTTCCTGCTCTGTCTGTATCTCGTTTCCTTACAGCACTGGGCAAGTACAGGACAAGCAAGTAAACCAGTTACAGATACAGACTAGCTGCCAGTTCCAGCTGCATGAGACTGCCACCTGCAGCACACAGCTGCAGGTTTTGAACAGAAGCCACTACTACTGTTTTAAATAAAAAAGTTTATTAAATCATTTAGACTTTAAATAAGTCACAATAATTAATGCGCTCAGCGATTATAGCGAGTGCATTCTGTACACCACCAACCCAAATGGATTGATTCTGTATTTTATAAATAAAAATTAACATATTTACAATGAGAAATAAAAGCACGGCATTAGGCAGTTAAATTAGCAGATTACACAAATGCCTACCAGTTGATTTTTCTTTTTAAAGTACAAATCTACAAGATTACATACGACACGTATGACTTCATTAGGTTTAAACTGTCAGAATCACAACATTTTTGTACATAATTTTTATTATGGCTCTTCCAACCGTTGTCTATAAGCCCTCTTTTAATAGCAAAAAGCTCCTTTCTCTTCTCTACAGGTTTATCTGTATAAAATGCATTCCCTAAGATCTACTACAGTGTAGAAATATGAAAAACTTTCCTGTAAAGATTGGCTATGAAGAGTGACAGTATGTACAGCTGTGGTAATTTTTTGCTTTAAAAATAGTGCAGATTCCCAGTTTACCTACCAGAGACAAAAAATGGAGTCATCATTTTGTGGTTTTTCTTCTGTTTTTCTTTTCCCAAATCATCTTCATTTCACCGAAGAGCAAGTGATTCAGATCTACACTCACTAGGCTTAGAGACTGTAATTTGCTCTATAAAAATACAGTATTTTAATTCTATGTACACGTTACAGGTCTCTCACTTACCCAGCAAGCAGACATATACAAGCTTCAGGGAAAAAAAAAAGGGTATAAAAAAAATCTTCCAGAAATCCCAACCCCCCAGAAAGAGATAAAGAAGCACAACATTGGTAAGCACAGTCGCTGAACCCACCTGCCAAGGAGAGTTCAGATAAAAAAATGGAATGTGGAAAGTGTGGCTTTTGTTGGCTGTCAAAGTGAACAAAAATCCATCCAACATCTTAAACATTGGCTATGGCAAAAGAAAGCATAAGTAAACATTTCCAAGATAGACATTCTGCATCATAGGATCCTTCTGATGAACAATCCCTTGAAAACCTGCTGAGTGGAAGAAGTGATCCTGAGGATAATTATTTGCTTGGTTGTCTTGAATGCTTGTTTCCTGATAGGCTCATTGTCCGTGACCTCTGCCTCAGCACTGGTTTGGCTGGGAGTTCCAGGTCCTCAAATACAGGATTTTCTATGATTGCAGCTGCCTCTGGTCTTTCAGTGGGACTCGGAGAGAGCATGTCCTTCACCATGATGTACTGAAAGAAAGCACGAGACGTGCTGCTCAAACCAATTCATACCTTCATTCTTATTTAATGCTCTGATTTCGTGTCAATATAAACAACTGCCTCCTTAGTAATCTGGGCATTACTACTTTGGCACAGAAGTCAGGAGCGATTTAAATGTTGGAAAATACAGCACTGTAATTTATTCCTTAAATTGTTTTTACTGTCGAGGACAACAATCAATTTGGCAAACCAAAACTGGCCCAAGATTCAATGGAGTTATAAAACATTTATAAGATTTGAAATCATAAGAATTTTAAAATATTTTAAGTGTCATTCATGAGTAATTTTGAGCTTCACATTTAATCACCATGTTTAAAGCAATGCAGTAATTTTTGATGGTGATGGCTTTCCTTTAAGTATGAGAAAAGTCTGAAGGTTTATCTCAGTTACTTAGCAGAACATCTTTATTAGTGAAAAACAACGTCCTGTTCCAACTGAGCACAGCACATCCCATTGGCCCTGTCACTTGGCAGCTGTAAAACCAGCAGGGAAGCTCTCATTTAGCTACTGGTCTGAAGCTACCATGAAAACCCAAAAGCATCTCAGCTTTTTACTGCAGGGCTTCTGCACATCACCTCCTCCTTATCTGAAAGTGTATAGCTCTAAAGGATGACCAATTCAGTATATGGTTTTCTACTTGAGAGATGCAATTCCTGGAGCTAGATCCCATGCAGCCACAATTCTATACCATGCTACCACGCTGTCTCCACTTCTACCTGTCTACAACTCTGCATGTTCTCTTTGTGAATATGGATTTGCTGCAAGAACTCATGGCAAGAAGTATGCAACATAAATGACATCAAGTGCCAAAGGGAAGCTGAGTAACACTGTATAGTTACTGGAGATAAACCCTGTGACAGAAGTATCAATGTCCACAATATTATAACTCTGAAACACAGTAAAGTACATCACGGATAGAGAAATGTGTCTTAATAGCAAAGTTGATGGGGTTGGTACTTTGTTTTTGTTTGTTTGTTTTCTTTTTTACTTGCAAAGCAATTGGAAAGCAAAGAAAAAAGCTACAGTTATTAGCAGGAAACATACTTACCTCTTGTGCATATTTCTGAGTGAACAACGTTGGGAAGTTCAGATTTCTAACATCGCTCAGAGTCTGCAGAAACGTTAAGAAAAAGATGAAGCTTTTCCAAAACACCATTTAACACTATTATTCTTATTTTTTAACCTATGCAAACAAATCAGCCCAATGAAGAAAAGCTGCATTTTTCAGTTTTGTTTTAGAGGTTAAGATCACAATGTACTTTAATGGCTAAGTTGCTTGTTCCCTAGGCACGCAGCTCAGTCACTGCTCCTCCTATAAAGAGCACATTGGCTCCACCTAGTGACAGTTCCCCCCAAAACTACAATACTGCAAAACTTGGAGCACAAAATACAAGAATTCTGAAGTTAAAACAAACCCATTATTACTCCACTGAAAGTGGAAACTAACAAACTAACCAGCTAATAGTGATGGGCAACAGTCAAACCCCAGTTCATGAGAACTGGAGTTTATTACAGAAAACTGCTGCAAACAGTGCTTTCCTCTACCAAGTCAGGCTGCATTTAGTGATCTGTTTTCATACATCTAATTTGGAAATAAAGTGTACTGTCACAGGTAACTACTAACAGCCTGTGACAGTGGCAGGTCTCATATTCTCCTTATGGGTATTCTTCAGTCCTTGGTCACAGACTCCTAGAATTTACTGGGCTCATAGATCAGACAGGGCATTCTTTGATTCAGCACATAGCAGTAAAGACTGGCCAATGAAAACATCAGTGTAACAAGCTGGAAGCAAATATTACAGAAGCCAAGCTCCAGAATAGACAATAAATGGCTGGAAGTTCTTTTTGATTTTATCAAAAAGAGTTTAAATAAATCAGGGAAAGTTAGGGCAACCTTCTTACCCTCCTTCTAAGAATCAAAATTCCTGGGGTATTGAGTTAGATTTAGGATTCACTCTGATTACCTGCTTTGCCTCTGTACTCAGAATAGAAACAGGAAGGGCAAAGCTTGTAATCAGTCCTGCAGGAGACCTAAAAACCTAAAAAGGAGACCTAAACCTAAAAAGGAGAGTTATTAGGTGTAAGTGTCAGTAAAACTAATTTCATTTAGGGAATCTCAAATTGGTTTTAGTGCAAGCGGTTCAGATTCAGCACTGTTATTCCTCCTCCAGACCATGCTCTTATTCATTAAAAATAAACAACAAAAACCAGGAAGCAAGACCAGAATAAGCAAAGTATCTGGCCAGCCTGCACTCACAGCATGATTTTAACTTCTCTGCTAAGCAATCCATCTTCACACGAGCATTTCAAAGCACTAAACATACTGATTTGATAAATACAGGTTGTGACAACTCTCATTCCTGTGTAGGTCATTGGTCACCATGTGCAAGAGAAAAACCCTTCTGGCTGTAGCCCTTGCTCTTCTCTATGAACTTTTTCCTGATTTCATGCATCTTAACAGCAAGGAAGATACATCAAAACTTCAAATTCACATTGGATTCAATGAAAGTCACCTATTACAGGGAACACGGTGCTTCACACTGAGCGGGAATTACTGCTAAGATTTTATTATTAGAAAATGAATAACAATTTTTCACTTTTTTCATTAAAAAAATGCACTGGAAATGCAAAAAGAAGAAATAGTGAAAATGCACAGCATGGCTCCAACTCCTGAATGAAGAATGAGTTGGTAGGCTTGTAGTTGCAACACTTATTTTTTGCTTAAGATCTCAGATATCTCAGTTCAGTATTTCCTCTTACTTGGCACCACAACAGAGAATGTTTGTAAAGAAACTGCAGCCTCAATTCAACTGCACATATAAGGAAGGCTGCAATTCATTTCCAGTGATTCAGGGAATCTGGACAAGGCTGATAAAGATTCCATGTTCCTAATTCCAAGGCTTTTTTAAAGCTGAGAAGAACCTCT